CACAGACACACACAGACACACACACAGACACAGGCACACACGCACCAGTGGACACTAACTGTCACACACACAGAGACACACACACATACACACACACACAGACACACACGTGGAAACTAACTGTCACAAAGATAAAGACAAAGATCCCCCGTATAGCCTTAACAGACTGTAGGGACAAGTGCTGTTAGCGAGCACCAATGAAGGCCGGAACGGTAGACGAGGGGGTGGGTGGCCAGCACCACGCCCGACCGCCTTTATCTCCCTAGTGGCAATGTTTACACACCGCACCAGGTACTCATTTGAGGCTGAGTCGACTTAGGGGAGGCCCGGGACCGGTTCAGATAATCGTCACTGGTGTTAGCCGTGAGCGGGAATCGAACCCGGGTCGCCAGGTTCATAGCGCACACACACAGACACACTCACAGACACACACACACGTGGGCAATAACTGTCACACACACACACAGACACACACACAGACACACACACAGACACACACAGACACACACACATGGAGACTAACTGTCACACACACACAGACACACACACACGTGGACACTAACTGTCACACACACACACAGACACACACACAGACACACACACAGACACACAGACACACACACACGTGGACACTAACTTTCACACACACACACAGACACACACACAGACACACACACACACACATGGACACTAACTGTCACACACACACAGAGCGTGTGTGTGCTCTGTAATTAAACGGCTGATTAATTTTAAAACACACGCCGAGCACAATTTTAGCAAATTGCAAAAACGATTCCACACCCCCCCCCGCCCCCCCACGTTGCATCCCAAAGTCGCCTCGTCTCTTCGAGTCGGAAATAACGAAAACACTTAAACAGAATTAGCCGCATTTCACCACTATGTGTGACGGTGACGTCACCACGGCGCCTGTGCCAGGCTAGGTGCACTGTGAGACTACCGCGTGAAGTGTCCAAAGCTCGCCGCTGGCAGGAGGTCACGGGGCAGACCCAGCAGGTGCCACGGGTCGTCTGACTGAGATGACCGGTAGATGCACCACCAGCCATACCCCCCTACTGTGCCAGGCTAGGTGCAGGAGGTCACGGGACAGACCCAGCAGGTGCCGTGGGTTGGCTGACCGAGATGACCGGTAGATGCACCACCAGCTGTACCCCCTACTGTGCCAGGCTAGGTGCAGGAGGTCACGGGACAGATTCAGCAGGTGCCGTGGGTTGGCTGACCGAGATGACCGGTAGATGCACCACCAGCTGTACCCCCCTACTGTGCCAGGCTAGGTGCAGGAGATCTCGGGACAGACCCAGCAGGTGCCATGGGTTGGCTGACTGAGATGTAACAAAAAAATACAAAAACAAAGATAAAGATCCCCCATATAGCCTGTAACAGACTGTAAGGGCAAGTGCTGTTAGCGAGCACCTATGAAGGCCGGAACGGTACACGAGGGGGTGGGTGGCCAGCACCACGCCCGACCGCCTTTGTCTCCCTAGTGGCGATGTTTACTACACACCGCACCAGGTACTCATTTGAGGCTGAGTCGACCTAGGGGAGGCCCGGGACCGGTTCAGATAATCGTCACTGGTGTTGCCCGTGAACAGGAATCGAACCTAGGTCGCCCGGTTCATAGCGCAGCGCACTAACCGCTACACTATCGCTCTACACATACGTACATACACACATATACATACGTACATACACAATGAGCTATAATCAAAACGCAACATCTCTCTTTCTCCGGGAATAAATCCAATAAGATCATCATTATTTTTGTTGTGCTTGTCCAGGGGGGGGGGGGGGGGGGGGGGGGGGGGAGGGGCAGGGTGAATCGGCAACCGACGTAACAATAAAGGCCATTTATCTTTCCCGGAGAATTCATTCGATAGTTTAAAATCTGCAGCAATGATGACGCCGCTACCGCTGCTGCTGCTGCTGCTGCCGATGCCGCTGCTGCTGATGATCATGATGACAATCGCGCGTGTGGCGACTACGAGGCGCTAGGGGTGGGGTGGGGGGGGGAGGGGGGGGAGTTTGAATCTTCCAATCAATAAATTGGTCACAAAGCGGCGGTCCTTGAAGAGGCGCGTGAATGCGACTCTGAAGAACGCAGGATGCCGAACCACCAACCCCTCGACAGCCCCCCCCCTCCTCCCCCCGCGGTGCCAGTAAAGTCCATCGACGTGTTTGGGGCAATTTGCACGGATCGGTTTCGCCATTCTGGGTGTCATCAGCAGCGCAGTCGGGCTTATTCGACAAATGCCGCTGTGATTAACCAGATTCTGTTGGTAAGAGCACCCCCCATATATACAAACTACGGAGCTATGTTCACGAATGATACTGCAGCTGTTTCACCCTCATGGGTTTCACCCTTATAGGTTTCATCAGCAGCGCAGTCGGGCTTATTCGACAAATGCCGCCGTGATTGACCAGATGCTGTTGGTAAGAGCGCCCCATATATACAAACTACGGAGCTATGTTCACGAATGATACTGGAGCTGTTTCACCCTCATGGGTTTCACCCTTATAGGTTTCATCAGCAGCGCAGTCGGGCTTATTCAACAAATGCCGCTGTGATTAACCAGATTATGTTGGTAAGAGCGCCCCATATATACAAACTACGGAGCTCTGTTCACGAATGATACTGCAGCTGTTTCACCCTCATGGGTTTCACCCTTATAGGTTTCATCAGCAGCGCAGTCGGGCGTGTCAGACAAATGCCGCTGTGATTAACCAGATTCTGTTGGTAAGAGCGCCCACGTGTAAACCACCGGGTCAGGTTCAAACAGACACACGAAATAAATAAATAGATAAAAATCATCCGCACGTCTCTGCACCGCAAACGCGTTGTCGTCGCGAATGATTGGGGCTAAATACATTCAACTAAACGTTAAGGTGTGACAATAAGACTGGCCTCCCCCTAGGTAGACTTAACCTCAAACAGGGACTCACACGGGTGAGCCCGAACAAAAAAAAAATCTCACCAAAAAAGCGATCTGATCCCTGATCTAACGAAAAATAAATGCGGGTCGGTGTGGGTGGCGGGAAATTCCACGTTGCCATGCTGGTGCCAGTACATCTCTTTAATAATACTAATAATTTCCATTCCTTTGTCAATCCACTGCTGGATGAATGCCTCTCTGCTCACGCCGTGTTAGTCGTACGGGTATGAGTTTGACCATACTTCACCACCCTGGTCAGTGCATGTTAGTGAAAAAGGCGTGGTGGGGGGGGGGGGGGGGGGGGGGGGGGGGGGGGGGGGGGGGGGGGTGTAATCCCTTGTTAAATATCCACAGACAATGGTCCGGTATCGAACTCAGGAGGTCTGCGTTCGTAGTTGCAGTTCGTGGTGTGCTAACCCAACCGCCACCGCTCCACTGGCGCCCCTTAAAGTTAACAATATATATATATTTTTTTCCAAATCTACGATATACACGAACAGTATTACTCACCGTAGTATGCAACAACAACAAAATACATTCCTTAATTCGATTTATATCATTCACACACGTATTTTAAAATTATAATTAGTGGATGTAGTAGCATCATCATCATCATTATTATTATTCGCTTGATTTTTAAACGCATCGAGCCGAGGATTCGAACTCGCGAAGCCCCACGCGAAGGGGCACGGCCTGCCACGCTCCACAACGTCGTGGACAGTCCACAACGTCGTGGACAGTCCACAACGTCGTGGACAGTCCACAACGTCGTGGACAGTCCACAACGTCGTGGACAGTCCACAACGTCGTGGACAGTCCACAACGTCGTGGACAGTCCACAACGTCGTGGACAGTCCACAACGTCGTGGACAGTCCACAACGTCGTGGACAGTCCACAACGTCGTGGACAGTCCACAACGTCGTGGACAATCCACAACGTCAAGAGTCCACAACGTCAAGAGTCCACAACGTCAAGAGTCCACAACGTCGTGGACAGTCCACAACGTCGACAGTCCACAACGTCGTGGACAGTCCACAACGTCGTGGACAGTCCACAACGTCGTGGACAGTCCACAACGTCGTGGACAGTCCACAACGTCAAGAGTCCACAACGTCAAGAGTCCACAACGTCAAGAGTCCACAACGTCGTGGACAGTCCACAACGTCGACAGTCCACAACGTCGTCGACAGTCCACAACGTCGTCGACAGTCTACAACGTCGTCGACAGTCCACAACGTCGTCGACAGTCCACAGCGTCGTCGACAGTCTACAACGTCATAGACAGTCTACAACGTCATAGACAGTCCACAACGTCGTCGACAGTCCACAACGTCGACATTCTACAACGTCATCGACAGTCTACAACGTCGACAGTCTACAACGTCGTCAACAGTCCACAACGTCAAGAGTCCACAACGTCGTCAACAGTCTACAACGTCGACAGTCTACAACGTCGTCGATAGTCCACAACGTCGACAGTCTACAACGTCAAGAGTCCACAACGTCGTCAACAGTCTACAACGTCGACAGTCTACAACGTCATCAACAGTCCACAACGTCGACAGTCTACAACGTCGTCGATAGTCCACAACGTCGACAGTCTACAACGTCATCAACAGTCTACAACGTCAAGAGTCCACAACGTCGTCAACAGTCCACAACGTCGACAGTCTACAACGTCAAGAGTCCACAACGTCGTTGACAGTCTACAACGACGTCGTGAGTCCACAACGTCGACAGTTTACAACGTCAAGAGTCCACAACGTCGTCAACAGTCCACAACGTCGACAGTCCACAACGTCGTCGTCAAGAGTCCACAACGTCGCCGACAGTCCACAACGTCGTGGACAGTCCACAACGTCATAGACAGTCCACAACGTCGACATTCTACAACGTCGTGGACAGTCCACAACGCCATCAACAGTCCACAACGTCGTCGCCGACAGTCCACAACGTCATCGACAGTCCACAACGTCGTCGCCGACAGTCCACAACGTCGTCGCCGACAGTCCACAACGTCACGCGACGTCACAGCACGCGCTCGGGCTCACCAATGAGCGAGCCCAGCGCAGGCGGGGACTGCGACGATCGCAGCTCCTCCATTTTGGTGGCGTCCAGCAACATCCCGGCAGGCAAGCCGTGCTGGTGGAACCACAGCGAGGGGAGCCTCGAACCCGCGGCTAACGCCATTTGAGCTGCGAGGACCGAGGCGTATTGACTCCACCAAGCTCCTCACCCTCTCTCTCTCCCTCTCTCTCTCACTCATTCACTCCTCCTCCTCCTCCATAGCCCACCCCCTACACCTAACGCACCACCACCACTACCACCACCCTCTCACTCCTCCCACTGACATCTTTTGTTTACTCTCTCTCACCCTCCCTCCCTCCCTCTCACCCTCCCTCCCCCCTCTCTCTCTCGCCCCCAGCCGCCGCCGCCGCCACTCACAATCTCCCCACCTCGCCCCACCTCGCCCTGTCTGAACTTCAACAATCTCTCCGCTCTTCCTCCATCTGCTCGCAGCGCGAACTCTCCCCTCTCCCCCCCCTCTCCTGTCTCCCCCCTCCCCTCTCCCCCCTCCCCTCTCCCCCCCCCCCCTCTCCCCCCCCCCCTCTCCTGCCTACCTCTCCCCTCTCCTGCCCCCCCCCTCTCCTGCCTCCCTCTCCCCTCTCCTGCCTCCCTCTCCTGCCTCTCCCCTCTCCCCTCCCCTCTCCCCCCCTCTCCCCTCTCCTGCCTCCCTCTCCCCTCTCCTGCCTCCCTCTCCTGCCTCTCCCCTCTCCCCTCCCCTCTCCCCCCCTCTCCTGCCTCCCTCTGCCCCCCTCTCTCCTGCCCCCCCTCTCCCCTCTCCTCTCATCTCTCCCCCCCCTCATCTCCCCCTCTCCTGCCACCCCCCCCCTCATCTCCCCCCCCCTCTCCTGCCTCCCTCTCTCTCTCTCTCCTCTCTCTCTCTCTGTTATTCTGGAGCGCCACGCTCTGTCCTCACATCCACAATGTCCTCCAACTCGCATCTCTTCTCTCGTCCCACTCTCTCTCTCTCTCTCCATCACCTCCCTCCCGGCCCTCTTACTTAGCGCTCTCTCCATCACCTCCCTGCTCTCCCACCCTACACTCTCTCGCGCTCTCTCCATCACCTCCCTGCTCTCCCACCCTCCTCTCTCCCGCTCTCTCTCTCCCTCCATCACCTCCCTGCTCTCTCACCCTCCTCTCTCCCGCTCTCTCTCTCCCTCCATCACCTCCCTGCTCTCCCACCCTCCTCTCTCTCTCGCTCTCTCCCTCCATCACCTCCCTGCTCTCCCACCCTCCTCTCTCTCGCTCTCTCTCTCCATCACCTCCCTGCTCTCCCACCCTCCTCTCTCTCGCTCTCTCTCTCCATCACCTCCCTGCTCTCCCACCCTCCTCTCTCCCGCTCTCTCTCTCTCCATCACCCCCCTGCTCTCCCACCCTCCTCTCTCCCGCACTCTCTCTTTTTTGTTTACGATCAGAGGAAACAAGAAGAAGCTCCTCGGTGTAGTCGGCACTTTGCTTCGTTCATCATTTCGGGTTTTTTTTCAATGCTTTGCTTTATGTAGCCCCCCCCCCCCCCCCCCGTTTAAATGAAAGATTTCACGCTCTGCTCTCCTCCTTCTTACCCCTTCCCTCTCTCTCTCTCTACCCCCCCCTCTCTCTCTACCCCCCCTCTCTCTCTCTCTACCCCCCCTCTCTCTCTCTCTACCCCCTCTCTCTCTCTACCCCCCTCTATCTCTACCCACCTCTCTCTCTACCCCCCCTCTCGCTCTACCCCCTCTCTCTCTCTACCCCCCTCTCTCTACCCCTCTCTCTACCCCCTCTCTCTCTACCCCCTCTCTCTCTACCCCTCTCTCTACCCCCTCTCTCTCTACCCACCCCTCTCTCTACCCCCTCTCTCTCTACCCCCCTCTCTCTCTACCCCTCTCTTTACCCCCTCTCTCTCTACCCACCTCTCTCTCTACCCCCTCTCTGTACCCACCCCTCTCTCTACCCTTCTCTCTCTCTACCCCCTCTCTCTCTACCCACCTCTCTCTCTATCCCCTCTCTCTCTACCCACCTCTCTCTCTACCCCCTCTCTCTCTACCCCCCTCTCTCTCTCTACCCCCCTCTCTCCCTACCCACCTCTCTCTCTACCCACCCCTCTCTCTACCCCCTCTCTCTCTACCCCCTCTCTCTACCCCCTCTCTCTCTACCCACCTCTCTCTCTACCCCCCCCTCTCTCTACCCCCCCCTCTCTACTCCCTCTCTCTCTACCCCCTCTCTCTCTCTACCCCCTCTCTCTCTACCCACCTCTCTCTCTCTCTATCCCCTCTCTCTCTACCCACCTCTCTCTCTACCCCCTCTCTCTACCCCCCTCTCTCTCTCTACCCCCTCTCTCTCTCTACCCACCTCTCTCTCTACCCCCTCTCTCTCTCTCTCTACCCCCTCTCTCTCTCTACCCCCTCTCTCTCTACCCACCTCTCTCTCTACCCCCTCTCTCCCTACTCCATGGCTATGTTCCCCCTGTTTTCTATGTAATATTTGTAATATAAAAAAAAGAAATTCTCCTGTCTCTCTCTCTCTCTCTCCCCTCCTTCTTCCCTCTCTCCCCAAACTCTCCATCGACTCTCATCACCCCCCACCCCTAACGCTCTCTCTCTCCCACTCGCAATGAATGCTGCAAGCAAGGGATGCAGGCGCAGCCCTGCACCGTCTCGCTCGTCCCGCTGCTAGCGGAAGAGCCTCTACGAGAGGGGGAGTCTTCAAAGAGCACCCCCTCCCTCTTGTTACGTGACCATACTTCACCACGCTGGTCGATCAGTTGGCGGGGTCTTGCGTTAGCCGCGAGAATAGAACGCGGGGGGGGGGGGGGTCTATGATTTGTAAGTAACGAGGGCTTGGTTTTGTTGTGCAGTAGACCCCCCAAACCCCCCCCCAAGTCCCCTCCAACCCCCTCCAACCCCCCCCCAGCCCCCAGCCCCCCCAGCCCCCCAGCCCCCCAACCCCCACCAGCACACGTGCCTGTGTGTATATGTCTGTGTATCTGTGCGAATTATACAATAAGGCACAATCACCAAAGTGCATCTCCATATATATACAAGGCAAAGTTGTGATTGTGTGTCTGTTCAAAATGTTTAGCGTACTTCCCGACATGCAACAAACTTAAAATTTGCCATGTGGGTACTTTCCAGACTGTACACCATGCAAACATTATAAAAATACACTTTTTTTGGGGGGGGAGCTCAATAATGCATTTTTTTTTGCACGGCAAGTGAGCTGTGACGTCACATCTGTCACGTGACACCCGTGCATGTGGAAGCGTAACGCATTGTAGTGTAGCGGTTAGCGCGCTGTCTGTGTGTCTGTGTGTGTGTCTGTGTGTGTCTGTGTGTGTGTATGTCTGTGTGTATGTGTGTATGTGTGTGTGTATGTGTGTGTGGAAGCGTAACGCATTGTAGCGTAGCGGTTAGCGCTACGCTGCGCTACGAACCCGGCGACCCGAGTTCGATTCCCGCTCACGGCCACCACCGGTGACGATTATTTTAACCGGTCCTGGGCCTCCCCCTAGGTCGACTCAGCCTCAAACGAGTAACTGCTGTTGTGGTGTGTGAACATCGCCACTGGGGGAGACAAAGGCGGCCGGGCGTGGTGAATCCAAGTTCCCGGGCGACTAGGATTAATTGCGCTCGCATTGACTATAATAATAAGGATCGTTATATAACACAATAACATAACATGTGTTGTGTGCACGTGCTTGGCATGTGTTTGTACAGTGCGAATGCGCGCGCGCGTTTTTTGGTTTACGCTGGGGGAGGGGAGCGGTGGCGCGGCGGTTAGCGCATTGCCCTTGGAACCCGGCCAACCGAGTTCGACTCCTGACTGTGGATTAGCCCCAGCGGTGAATATCGGAACTGGTCCCGCGCCCCATCGCACACGAACCGATCCCCGCACTGCCCACAATGGTGAAGTATGGTCAGACGATAGGTGGTGGACAGGTGGTGGACAAGTGGTGGACAGGTGGTGGATAGGTGTCGGACACGTGGTGGATCGGTGGTGGACAGGTGGTGGATAGGAGGTGGATAGGAGGTCGATAGGTGGTGGATAGGAGGTGGATAGTTGGTGGATAGGTGGTGGATAGGTGGTGGATAGGTGGTGGACAGTTGGTGGATAGGTGGTGGATAGGTGGTGGACAGGAAGTGGATAGGTGGTGGATAGGTGGTGGACAGGAGGTGGACAGGTGGTGGATAGGTGGTGAACAGTTGGTGAACAGGTGGTGGATAGGTGGTGGATAGGTGGTGGATAGGTGGTGGACAGATAGGTACATTATATATATCGTGTATGTTTTGAATGTGTGCATACAATCGAGCGGTGGTGCAGCGGTTAGCGCGCTGCAGTCCGAACCCCAGACCCGGGTTCGATTCCCGCTCACGGCCAACACCGGTGACGATTATCTGAACCGGTCCTGGGCCTCCCCTAGGTCGACTCAGCCTCAAATGAGTACCTGGTGCGGTGTGCAGTAAACATCGCCACTGGGGAGACAAAGGCGGTCGGGCGAGGTGCTGGTCACCCACCCCCTCGTGTGCCATGCCGGCATTCATAGGTGCTGCTCGCGAACAGCACTTGCCCCAACAGTCTGTTGAGGCTATTCGGGGAATATTTGTTTTTATATATATACATACACGTGTATGTATATATACACGTGTATGTATATATACACACGCGTGTATACACGTCTGTAAGAGATTAGAGACCACGGCTTGCCGATGACTATGACGATGATGGGGATGCGCCTGTGCCATAAATTTTTGTTATTATTTTGTCCCGTGCATTTCCTGGATGCTATCGCCCCCCCCCCCCCCAATCAATCGTTAATAAACACGCGCACAGAGACAGATGCCACCGATAGGGAGGGAGGGTGGGTGGGGGGTACCCTAAGCCTGGGGGGGTACCCTAAGCCTGGGTGGGGGGTACCCTAAGGTTGGGGGGGGTACCCTAAGGCTGGGTACCATAAGGCTGGGGGGGGTACCCTAAGGCTGGGTGGGGGGTACCCTAAGGCTGGGGGGGGTACCCTAAGGCTGGGTACCCTAAGGCTGGGGGGGGTACCCTAAGGCTGGGTGGGGGGTACCCTAAGGCTGGGGGGGTACCCTAAGGCTGGGGGGGGGTACCCTAAGGCAGGGTGGGGGGGTACCCTAAGGCTGGGGGGGTACCCTAAGGCTGGGGGGTATCCTAAGGTTGGGCGGGCTACCCTAAGGCTGGGTACCCTAAGACTGGGGGGGGGGGTGTACCCTAAGGCTGTGGGGTACCCTAAGAC